TCGTAAGTTGTCTTTCTTTCTTTCATTTCATCACTTTCTTTCCCTTCAAAAATTGTAGACTTTCTCTTCACAACTTGTTGTCAACACAGGTTTCACTCTCTGCATCATACTCAGTTTCGGACAAATTATTCACTTTTCATGCCCCTCTATGATTATGTCTATGGAACCATGGACAAGTCCACAGATGTTGTTTATCAAACTTCACTCAAAAGACAAGAAGAGTCACCAGATGTTGTGCACTTGACTCACTTAACCACAGCAGATTCTATATATCATCTGCAGCTTGGATTTGCTTCCATGGCGTCCAAGCCCTATGTTTCGAGATGGTACCTCATGGTCATGTGGCCAGTGACATTCTGGTCTGTGATTATGACTTGGGTTTATGGCCATGCTTTTGTTTCAGAGAGAAACACCTTCAAGAAACTCAAGCTACAATCTTGGGTAATACCCAGATACAAAATAGAAGTAAGGAACACGTCTGCATAATTTTTTGCCTCTTACAATCTTGGTGTATCTTTCTGTTGGATTTTCGTTTTGATAATAAAAACTACCTGTTTCTTTCTCTAGTTTCTGCTTACATATTTTGGAAGAAACGATATCAGCGAACTAATTGAAGAGGCAGTCTTAGAAGCAGATAAGAAAGGAGCTAAGGTTTTGAGTTTAGGTCTTCTGAATCAGGCATGTAATTAAGATTCCACCATTTATTGCTGCTTCTTTGAAGTTGATTATTTTCAATAGATTAGCACATATAATGCGAATCAATTTTGCAGAAAGAAGAACTTAACATGAATGGGGAGTTGTACATCCAATGGATACCTCAGCTTAGAATAAAGATTGTTGATGGAAGCAGCTTGGTGGCAGCTGCTGTGATACACAGCATTCCAAAGGAAACAGCACGAGTGATCTTCAGAGGAAAGGTGTCCAAGGTTGCTCATGCCGTAGTGTCAGCTTTATGTCAAAAGGGCATTCAGGTAATGTTTCAGTTGCCCAAGACAGGTGTGAGACAGAAATGTCGAACATCAAATTAAAGTTATCTTTCTTTGTGTTTTGCAGGTTATTACATTACATGAGGATGAATATATGAAGTTAAAGCAAAATGAAAAGTTGCTGGGAACTGACGTGGTTCTTTCAGAAAGTTACAGTCAAAAGGTGAATTAAAGTGAAACTGAAACCTTTACCTTCTGCTTGTACTAATTTTTAACATTTTTTATAACGGAAAGGTGAGAAGTTAAGAGACTCCTTTGAGTAATGCAGATATGGTTGGTGGGAGATGGACTGACTGAGAGAGAGCAGTTGCAAGCTTCAAAAGGAACAATTTTCATCCCATTTTCCCTTTACCCACCAAGAAAAGTGCGCCAAGACTGCTATTATCACACTACACCAGCCATGATGGTTCCAAAATCTCTTGAAAACCTTAACTCTTGTGAGGTTGGTGTCAAAACATACCCATTTTTGCAGAATTAGTTCTCTGTTTTTATTGTGAGAATTCTTATTTCTATATTTAAATGTGAAACAGAATTGGCTGGAAAGAAGGGTGATGAGTGCAGTGCGTGTGGCTGGAATTGTTCATGCTTTGGAAGGATGGGATGTTCATGAGTGTGGCAACTCTGTCTTCAACATTGACAAAGTTTGGGAAGCTGCTCTTCACCATGGATTTCGTCCTTTGGCAGTTCCTACCTAATCAAAAGACTTTAGTGGCCTATGCTATCTAGCATGATTATTCTGCCATATGCAACAATCATTCCCGAGCATGAAAATTATAATATTTGCTCAGTTATACTTTATTGTATTTCTATTACTGAAGCATTATATCATGCTTATTTTACAAATAAGAATTCCCCTCTTTATTTAAATTTCAGAAATAATTATGAACAATGTAAGTATAATCTTATAAAATAATCATCATTCCCTTGTTAAAAATTTCTCATATAAATTTAAAAATATGAAATTTGAGGCTCATCCTAAATGTTAAAAAATAAAATAAAATAAAACCCTATTTTAGTCCTGAACTATTGTACAGACCTCTAATTTAGTCTCCAAACTTAAAAAATCATTAATTTAATCTCTACTATTTATCATTTTTATCCTAATTTTCTCCTTTTGTTAATTTTTTCATGTTAATTGACTAAAGAAAACAAAAGAAGCATTATGTGTCATACAAAAATGGACAGCTTGGAAAAAATAGATGACATGACCATTCCAACTCATCTCACAAAGAAAAAAAAACCTTTTTTTAGCTTTTTCTTTTTTTTTTTTTCTTTTTTTTCGTTCCTCTCTTTGCTCTTTCCTTTCTTCAACTTCTGCAAACCCTAACATCTCAATCAATCTATTCATCTCAATCAATCTATTTATCTCAACCAATTTCTTCCTTTGTTGGGCTCATCATCATCATCATCATTAAGCAACAAAACCCACAAAGAAAAAAACATAATTTAAAAAAAAAAAATTTTGCCCCTGGATTTTTTCGAACCCAAGCGTGCTGGGTTCAATCAATCCTAGCAGGCACCCTTTCTTTCTCCTTCCTCTTCCTTGCGTTGCCTTCTTCATCAATCAATTCTTCATCTTCATCAATCAATTCTTCATCTTTATCAATCAATTCTTCATCATCATCAAACAATAAAATCCACAAAAAAAGAGAATTTTTTTTTATTTTTTGCCCCTAGGTTCCATTGAACCCAAGCATGCTGGGTTCCAAGGATCCCACGCATTGGTTCGAAGGAACCCAGGTGTGGGTTCCACTGAACCCA